TCCACAGAAACATTAGGAAAAACTTTTTCACTGTGAGGGTGACAGCACTGGCACAGGCTGCCCAGGGAGGTTGTGGAGTCTCCTGCTCTGGAGACTTTCAAAACCCGCCTGGACACGTTCTTGTGTGACCTGCCCTAGGGGATCCTGCTCTGGCAGGGGGCTGGGCTAGATGATCTTTTGAGGTCCCTTCCAACCTCTAACATTCTGTGATTCTGTGAAGGATGTGGACTTGTCCGGAGGAGGCCGCAAAGATGATCAAGGGGCTGGAGCATCTTCCCTAGAACAGGCTGAGAGAGCTGGGGTTGTTCAGCCTAAGAAGAGAAGGCTCCAGGGAGACCTTATAGTGACCTTCCAGTAGCTGAAGGAAGCCTACAGGACAGCTGGGGAGGAACTTTTTGTAAGGGCATGTGGTGACAGGACAAGGAACCATGGTTTAAAGAAAAAATTCTTTACTCTGAGGATGGTGAGACACTGGAACAGGTTGCCCAGAGAAGCTGTGGATGCCTCATCCCTGGAAGTGTTGAAGGCCTGGTTGGATGGAGCTTTGAGCAACCTGATCTAGTGGAGGGTGCTCCTGCCCATGCAAGGGGGGGTTGGAACTAGATGGTCTTTAAGGTCCCTTCCAACCCAACTAATTCTATGATTCTATGAAATCAGTACTATAAGCAGCAGAGTGGACCAAGTAGCTGACTAAAGGGCTATTTTTATAAAAGTCTTCCAGAAGGCAGTGTGTAACTAACAGTCTTAAAATACCAAACCCTTTTCTCAGATACTCAAAACCTTATCATGTTTTGTTAGTTACAAAAAGTTGATTAATTTAATTAACATGGGACTGATTCCTCAATACTATGATTCTGCAGCAGAGTTGAAGCCAACACTGCAAGACACAACTATTTTTGTGGAGAGGCAATAATAACAGCACACGTGCAGCTTGTTCTTAAAATTGTCCAGAAAAGGGTATTTCTGTTTTGTGAAAGATTCTGCTTGTTGACATTTTTTTTATCCCATGTTGAAACAGAATGTTGACATGGTGGAACTTCAGGCAAAACAGAACAATTTGTATCAGGGTTGGGTTTTTCTAGGGGCGCCTGCTGCCCAGCCGGCTGGTACGCAAGCTGAAAGAAACCAGCGAGGCTACCAAGCTGGTCAGGCAGCGGGGAGTGCCTGCCTGCCTGGCTTCTGAGGAGGGTTTTGACAGAATAAACATGTTCTCAAGGAATATTTTTCCATTCTCTTGAATCACCATTTTAATCAGAACATTGTTGATCAGCTGTAGTAATTTGCTGTAGAAGCAGGGGAAATGGACTTGCGCTCTGGTCTTTAAAGCTCTAATTTTACTTTCTCACTAATTATCTGTAGAGTCTGAATTTAAAATTCTCTGGAGATTGAAGTACAAAAGGCTTTTTTCCTGAGCTGGAGGGCTAGATTATTAATTCACACTTAAATCTGTGCGTAGTGATTGAGTAGACATACAGGAACCAGACTTTTGCTGTGGGACTTGGTTTTTGATCACACTAATGAGAGCAGAAACAGTAATGCAGAAAACGTGCTGCACTGCAAATTTCATCTGGTTTCTGCAGTGGGGAAAGAGCCATGAGGTGTGAGCTCTTCAGATCACCTGGACCATTCTCTGTCAATTCTCTGTCACTCTGTCAATTCTCAGCACAAGTTCTGACCCATAATGTCCTTGGAGAGTAACAAAGAAGACATCCCACATATCTCTCTCTTTCAGTGACTGGTAATGCCCCCCACCCACCCTACAAATGGCGATGCTTTATCTAATTTTTTTTTCCTTGTTTTATAGCCTTTCACATGTTCAGGAACTATTTCTGTTTATTTTTCTAGAGGAAATATAGAACCTAGCTTGCAATACCAAATGCTGTGTTTGATATCATTTATTACTGTTTGGATCCTGAGCACTGTGAAGTCAGTATGATCTAATTTGTGTGAGAGCTTGAAACCGCTTAGTCCAGTCAAACACCCAGATTTGGGTATCTCTGCTGCTGCCTCTTCCTTGAGGAATTTTTCATGCTAAACTTATTCTTCTGCCACTTAACTTTGGTTTGCTTCACAAGATTCTTCCATGGACTACTGTTATTTTTCAAAGCTGAAAAACAAGTTAATGTGTTTTTCCAGAACATAAAGATGTGATGATTATTTACAAAGACGTCCTTTTAGCTTGGTGTACTCTCACTGGTAATAGACGATTAAGGAACACTAAAAGACAACAGTACATATGCTTTCCCTGGTATCTTTTCTCAACTTTTAGTAATCAACTCCTTAGGGATTTTCTTTGCTGGGAGTTTCATCGTGTTTAATTGCACTTACTTAAATTCATGAAAGTATTTATTTTGAACTTGTTTGTAATTTAGCTTTCAGAACATACGCTAGTGATGAGTTCCATAAGGCAATTTTGGATTGAGAGAGGAAATAACTCATTCTTGTTTTCTCCTGTTGAAATCAACCCCCGGGGCAGGGAGCACAAGTCACTGTTGAATATATATGTTGTAAGAGCTGAGGGATAGGAGTCTATGTTGATGAAATGCTCGAGTTTTGCAGGTCAAGAGTAGCTAGAAGTTATAATAAAAGTCCTGAAGAAACTAAAATTTCAAGTTATAGTACTGGAAAATAGCTGTTGGGTCTGTCTAACAATTTAATAATAAAACAAAATGAAAAGTTGACCTGCATTCTTATTTGTGTGGGTGTCTGCAAAATCATGTAGCTGTAAGCCTTCATTTTCTCTCAGTAACTTTTTTTTTTATGGTCTTCCCTGAAATAACAAAAATAATTCCTGATCCATGGCATCTCCTATATAAAACTATGGTAACAAATGTACCTGCAGGCTGAGTGGAAGAATTAGTAGTAGTAGTAGTAGAAGGCTCCAGGTCTCCTTGTCTAGGAAGGTGATATTATATTTACTTCATCGTGAAACATAAAAAAAGATGTAAATTGAAGATGGAGAAATCTAGAAGAGCTGGTAAATGTATGTATGTTACAAGCAAATAAAGCCTGTAAGGTTAAGTACTCTCATTTCTGCGGACTCTGCTTCTTTTGACTTTGGTGACCCTACTGGGGAAGGGAGGAAAGGTGCACTTCTGTTTGAGGAAAAGGGTTTTTTAATTTCTCCAGCGGTGAATTATTGTTTTTTGTCTCTAGAAAGTCATGCAACTGTTTTGGGAGTGGGCTGACTTATGTTCTTTCCAATAGAGCTATCTTATCTTGGTGCATGAAGTAAAGTATTGGAGGAACAGATCCTCCATCTCTTCAGACTTTCAAACCCATGGTAAGAAAATTGTCCTATAAATCAGATAAGCTATTATCTATGTCTCCCCGGAAAGCCACTTATGGCCATGTTAAAAGATGTGTTTTGTGTCTTTGTCACTGCACTCAAGGGTGATGAGATGTAGGAGAAAAATCATTAGATTAAAAAGGAGCTGGAGAGAGGATTTAAAACCAATATCCTAAGGATGACAGGGATATAATTATGAACAACCTCTCACCTGGATTTTTTTTTTCCACTCTTGTTTCTCTATAAAGTGTTTTAGATAACTCATGTCTGTTCTGTAGCTGTAAAAAATTCACGATAAAAGTAAATTTTAAGGATTGCTTTGACTGAGGCTTTTAAACTTTTTCTGCATGGAAGTTACTTGACATAAAATGTCCGTGAACAACAATGAATTCTGCTTTGTGGACCCATTTGTTTTATTAAAATCAGATGAAGGAGAAGTATTTTGAAACATTTTAAAAATCTTGAGGCAGCTTTTTAGTTTGCAGTTCTCTTGGATGTTCACTAGAATATACTTGATTTAATTAAGCTGAACTGAGTGTAATGGCTTGATCCAGTGTATACAGCAGTATGGGGTAGAAATCTAAAATGTTTGGGATGACACCTGACATTAAATTATTAATTCAGCCTGGATAGTGCTGTAGTTTACAATCATGTGGGCATATAAGGCCTTTATATCTTTCTTGCCCCTGCATCCATCAGAAACCCTCTTCAAGGAAAAAAGGAGAAGGAATGAATGACTAGTGTAAGTTGTCCTAGAAGGCTGGAGCCATGTAATCATTTTCCTCAATGTTTTTTGTTCCTGGTCTAGACTGTTAGTAAATATTCTCAAGGGCCAAATGTGTGCTATTCAAAGAACAGGAGGATGGAGCAGGTTTTTAAGGAGATTTTTACTGTTTAGCCTAAGCTTCAGGTTGAAAGCAGGATGAAAACAGGAATTTAAGCCTGACTGCCTAGTACTTACATTGATATT